CAATATTCCATATTTTTTTCTTCAAATGCTATGCCATGGGTGTTCAATATAACTGCCATGCTGATTGGAAACAGAGATTTCGTCAGAGCAGTTTATCACCACCTAACTTTTACAATTCAATTCAATCTTTTATGTTACGCGCCAATTCATAACAGAAGTTATCTCAGGACACTTTTCAAATAGAGCTGGTCTAGACCGACTCCTTACAGAGATCTACCAGCGGTGAGCGATCGTGAATGATAAATCGTGTTCAGCAATGAATGCACGCACACGTATTTTCAAATCACAAACTTGATCTGTTATTGGCGCCGGTACTGCTGCCGGCAAACGACTTGTGCGTTGAAGAGCACGAACAACAGTGCTATAGCCGGGGTCACCTTCGTGACGTCGAAGAACTTTTCGCCTCTAGTTGCATATATTAGCTTCTTCGCGCACAACACACAGAAACAAGCCCTGGCTCTCTCTTCATTTTTGGCACCAGCTCCAAAAGGCTTGCCGTCTCCGCCCCTTTCTTCTATCCATGCCCAGAGCCATTTATTTTAAGTCCTTTTTCAGTTAGGCGTCTTTTCATGAATTTCCCCTCCATCTCTGGATTTCGGTGAAACAAACGCTGGCCTGGATGCTGCGTTCAAGACCACTCAGAGGTAATAATAATAATAAAGGTAATAATACAGAGCCTGGTCACAATCACATTATTGACCCTGGTGTACTGCTCCAGCTCCTCCACTTCACTCTCCAGGTGCACCAGACGCCGGTCCTTCTCGGCGTTCTGGATCCGAAGAGCCTTCACTTCCTCCACCAGGTCCAGGATGGATTTCTGCTGCAGTTTCAAAGCTGAAATTTCCTCAGTCATCGCCCTCTTCGGCTGTCAGAGCCTTCTTCAGACCCATGTTGCTAGGTAACGCGAGGTAGCGTCTGCTGTTACCCTAGCCGCCCGCTAGCTAGTTTGTCAACTAGCCGCCTAGCTCCGTTCTTTCCGTCCGTGTTCCGAAAATCAGCGTCGACCAAATGTGTCAGCAGATAGTCCGATGTCCGTAATCCAAAATCAGTAGCCAATAAACACATAAATAGTCCAAAAACCGAGCACCAAAACACACAAACCCTCTCCAAACTTTTCACTTGACCTGACACTATTGTATAGTAACATGGTTGGACTCAAAATCCATACCATCATCAACAAAACATTGAATGAGGGAATATTTTTTGAATGGTGATGTTCTTCTTCCGGCTCTGAGAATCGATTCCAAGGAGCACTGAAGCTGTTCTGGAAGCTTGAGTTGGACTTTATGTTGGTTTTTCCCTTTTATTTCACACCCACCTGTAATGGCTGCCTATCGTCAACATGTTGTTCATTTGATCATCATTTCTAGTCACTGTCATCCATTTTAATGTGTTATAAAACAGTAGCCTAGTTTATTTTGGTTATTGAACCAACGAAAGACAATCTGTCATTCCTTTTGGTATGTCCATTTGATCATATTTCACTATTTCACAATTTTAATTATTGCAATCTACTCAGCCAGTTTGGATATGAATAGTGGTGTAAGAAAAAATACAATTATACGTAATAATAGGATATTGTGTCGATTCTTAAAAACACAACTAACACACTTTTTGAACCCCCAACCGTTAGATAGCAGAGTTGTAAACTGAGGGTGTGATGTTGTGTGACTGTGAGAAATACAAATGCAAATCCCATTGTTCTGGTTGCATAAAAAAGTTAAATCATAAAAGTACCATAAAATATATAGCTGCATGTCATGAAAAAAACTGGTTTCAGTGAGTTTTCAACCACAGATTATTATTATTTGGACACATAAAGAAAATAATAATGAGGTGTAAAGTTTTTGCCAGCATCGTAAATTAGTTATATTTGTATCCCTTTGCTTATATTTACTAAATCCTCCTATATTAATTCATATGAATGTCTATTGGTGGAAAAAGTACATAACTCAACACTGAATTTATATGGTTTTAGCCGACCAGGTATGTGTACCCAACGGAAAAACCTCTTGGCATCAGCTCATCGGTGCACAATGTGATGAAAAAACCTCAGCTGACTTCTGGTCCCAGCTAGTCTGAGCAAGGTCCTATTTACAGCGGTATACTGTTGAAATCTCCTCTTCCTGTGTGGTTTCAGGAGGAGAGAATATGGCCTCCACTGGCAGCCTCTGAACACAGCAAGACAGAGAATAAGAGTGAAAATAGACACTGCAGACGTCTCCGTGGATCCAGACAATTGCTAAAGAGTAGAGGTTGCATATCTGCGTAGGAGTAGTGTGGGAAAAGAGAAAAGAGGAGAAAGTTAAAGTGAGAGAAAGTGAGGTTAAAAGACATAAACTAAGAAGAACTAACAAAGTAGTTAACACAGAGAACTTTTAGGAATAAAAACAATCTTTGTGGTTATAAACCAAATGAAAAAGCACAGACTCAGACTTCAAGAACTGCCTAAGAGTACACAGTTATTAAAAAGAAATGTTGAAACTCTTGTTAACGCTCAAATATTTTGTAACTGGTTTAACCGAATGTCTCATTGTGCAGGTCAGCCATCCAGTGTGGTTTAGAGGTTAAAATTCCTGGATTTAGCCAGATCCCTTGTGGTTAGAAAGGCTGTCACTTAAGTGGGAATTGAATGGTTGCATCTTTGTTTCCTGCTTGAGGGCAATTGTTTGCAGCTCCAAACTAAATGACAAAACATGTTGTTTGTAATTGCCTAAATGACCCGCATAAGTTTTTTCTGATTAGACCTTCCTAGGATGCATGGATTGGTCATGGTCTTCCAAAACCGTTACAAATGGTCATTGTTGGATCTTCGTCTTCAGAATGTTTGAAAGATTTGAAACCACACCCATACTGTATTCATAGATTCTGCACATTAATAGGCCCTAAATGTACAGAAATTGGGTCTAGTTGGATCTTTCTTTCAACCATGATCCTGATCCTCCTGTCTGCTTCTCCAAACTGTGGACACGCTGACCTCCATCTATACTGTAGGTAATACACTGATTATAGATACTATAGTACCCCAGACAACTACACAGTGTAAAGCTATCCGGCACAATTTTATGGTGCTACATTATAAAAAGGCTGTTTAGTTCCAACCTCATTTGTTCGCTGTAATGATAATAAATCAAAATGCAGTAATAGTTTGTGCATGTTTAAATGCTTAACTCATAGTGTAATGAATTGTTTGATTGATGATCTTGAGTTTGAGCGTTATGTTCACAGCAGGTTAGTTACGCTGCTGTGGAAACTTCCTCACACATACTTATTATACATGATTTCCTCTTACATATTTTCACAATGTAACACAAAGTGCATTTATAAAAAGGTGTAGTAAGAGCAAGTTATGGAGAATACTGCTAGCTTTGTTTCGGACCTGTCTTACCGGTAGTTAGGAGGAAGTCTTACAATAACATACACTCTCACACACACATACAACCACGTGGCCATATGCGTAATGGCCCACAGATGCTCAGCCCTTGGCTCTCCAACAAGGATATCCTGATGACTGCCTGGTGGAGCTGCCAAATCTTCATGGAAACACAACAAAAGATATAATGCAGACACAAGGTGCAGACGAGAACATTATTCACATATAAGAAGATCTTTCAGACAGTGAGATTGGACTTCCAGTGGAGCCAACATACTGCATAAAGTTATATCTTGAGATGGAGCAGAGTACAACCATGCATGCATGTAGGAACAAACAAGGTTCATTCAAAAGTTCTTTAACTTGCCTTGGTATCCTACATTATAGCACTCACATCAAACAAAGAGCTTTTTAAAAGGCATCAGGCTTTTACTTTAACTTCCCCAAGAGGTCTTTACCAAGCAGCAACCTCCGTGGCTGGTAAATAAAACCAACATGGAAGTAACAAATACTGCAGTTCCTCAAACGGCCACTTGAGGCTGGCTCCAACAGTAAGTCAATCTCCATAAGGCCAAATATTAAAATTTACAGCAGAAATATAAATGTTTACAGCCTGGTACTTGGTTTCTATAATTTATTATCCTGTTTGTGACAATTGTGCAGGGGGTACATTTTTATACAACTCACAAATTTAAAATATATTATGGCTTAAAGTTATGCATAATGAATTAGCCAGGTTTTATTCAGCCCACCTCAACTCCCACACACCACATCTTTGCCCATTTCTAGCACCATTCAAGGCCACTGTGATTAGTTCAAAGAAATACAAACAAAAAAGGATTTTTTCTTTCCTCTATAGCAGAATGATAATGCAGTAATGCAGCCAGCGCTGGCTATGTGAGACTCAACCAATAACAGCACTTAGTCATTAACTGTCACTGCACGCTGTGTGTCGTTTACTGTGGGTCAGTAAAGGAGCTGTAACTTTCCTAAACTGTAGATGCATTATGCAGATGTGCATGAGGTGATGTTCAAAGCAAATGAGGAGGGTGGAGTATGAGCAGCACATTGTCTCTCTGTTTCCCTTCTAACAGGATATGTGGCTCCCTGTGGAAGACTGTTGTGTCAGTGCAGGCTGAGGTACCTCAGGCTGCTTAGCAGGCATATTAATACACATGCAAGTAGAACATGTAGGCACACACGTATTCAGTCACACAAACATGACCAAGATAAACACCTTTCCCTTGGACACACAGTGCAGAACACACAGTCATCACCTCATGCTGTTTCTATCATCATCATATCTTCTACAGTATAAATGATGGATCACAGAGATTCTGCACAGCCCTTGACAACCACGGCTCTCTGCAATCCCCCAAAGCCAATTAATCAGCCCAGACAATCTGCTCAGTCCTAACACACTGAACTCAATTCAGACATAAAGGTAAATGGTAAATGGACCTGTACTTGTATAGCGCCTTTCTAGTCATCTGACCACTCAAAGCACTTTTACACTACGTGCCACATTCGCCCTTTCACACACATTCACACACCAATGCTATGC